GTAACTCGATACTATGTTTGTAAACTTGCTTTATTTTATGCATAAAATCCAGATTTTGTATTTGAACTGGCTAGAGCACGTCACATCAGCAGGTGACTTAGTCAAAGTGTAGTCAATTTGACTCGCTAAAGTATGGGGACATCTGCACTTATCCTACTCGACCAAGGCCATGATTCTTAGGTCTGACCAACAAGCCCGGATAGGCAGCAGAGACCATGATGATGGAGCTCATCTCAATTCGAAAATCTTACCTTTTCTAACTCGGTCCAATCTTATGCTGGTTTGTTTGATTGGAGATGATTTATTTGAATTGTATCATATCCTCAACATATAATATTAGGGGATATCAGTCGATAGCCAATCTCTCTTATTGCCAACTTCCATGACTGCTCTAATCTTAACACACATCGGAGGAATTTTCCTTCACTAATGAGGTATTGACACATGAATTTACTTGTCTACTATAACTACCTCGGTTGATATGATGGTGAAATGTGTACCACCTAATTGACTAGGCGAATACCTATAAGCACGTTAACCTACCTCAGGTAAAGGGGAAACTCATTCTCTGCTAGGCTTGACACCGCCCTCCTTCAATGTATGAGCCCTATGCTCTAACCTACATACCTACCATTTTGACCTTTATCATCAAGAGTTTTACATAGGCATCAAATGGACATTGGTGGACAGCTTGCCAGCATCAATTTGATGATTCCTCTATATATTATACGTACAGCCCATCTCAAGCAAGCAAAGATCAACATTGATAATCTTGGATGACAAAGGAGCGCTCAACAATGAGTCTAACCTTGAGAACTCAATCTAGCTATTTGGAATTTCCATGCATCAATGTTGATCCATAACAACATTGATGACAAAGGAGCCCTAACTTTCAAGTAACATTGTGAATAACTTCGTATTTTTCTTGTTGTGTTTTTGTAAAAAAACATCATGGCGTTGTGTTTTTCCCTTAAATAGTTTTCAAAACACCATGTTGAGTGTTTTTGGCCAACACTAGTTTGATCCATAACAACATAAGTAGGAAACATATTATTAATATAGTATATATTAATTATAATAAAATATATTATAAACAAAAAGTTATAATATTTAGTTTACATTATTATAGTATTATAAATATTAAGTATAACATAATATATATAATATTATATAATGTATGATAACACTATATTGTAGTCTAATGTGTTATATTATATTATGATTATTACATATTATATTATGATTATTACATATTATATTTAAATAATAATATATTTAATTATTTTGGTATAGAAATTTGTTATTTTTATATTTTATATAATATTTTTAAAATAATATTATTTTACTATTAATATAATATTATACTATTATTAATATTATATAATATTATTAATAATGTTAATATAATGTTATTACTAGTATGTTATTAATAAATTAATATATAATAAATAATTTAATATTATGTAATATATTATGGTCTTTAATATGTTAGAGTTTATTAATAGTAATTTAATAATATATTAATAATTTATGATATAAATAAATATTATTATATTATGAATATATTATGTTTACTAACATTTGTTAGCAATAAATTATTTTATTTATTATATAATATATTAATATTTTATATATTATATTACATTTACTNCCATTATTATATTATTATTTATTATCAATAATTTTATTATTTTCTATTAATTTATTTATATTTTATTATTATTTATTATTATATTATCAATATATTAAATACTAGTATTTTTAATATGTTATTATATTATTATATAAGATATCTTAATTATTATATTTTTATATTATTTAATAAATACTTATAATTTATTAGATTAACTATAATGTAATATAAGATAATAAGCATGTCGATAATAACTATATAATAATTACATTTAATATATTATATTAGATATTATATTAACAACTCTTCAAACTTAAAACCAAAACATCAAACTTAAAACACCTAAAACGTGTTTCGAAATAAGTGTTGTGTTTTTGGTTTGAGGATGACGTACCTCAAAAAATACTATAGTTTCCAAACGCATGGTGTTTTTTTTTTTTGGCAAAAACATCATGGAAACAAGTAAAACGCTAGTGTATCCAAACGGATCCTTCATTATCAGCCGCAACGTTTGGCAATTTTATTTAGCAAAGTCTTCCTACAGCGAGCAACCAAACATTTACTTTTTTTTTTTGTTATGGAAAGGGATCATAAAGCTAAGGATTTATAAATATATTAAATTGATAAATTTCACCATCTTTGTCAATGTATCTTTTAGTGAATCAAAGTATATTTAGGACTTGATAGAGGCACGATTCTTTCCTATTGTTTTTTACGTATTTGTGCATACAGAAATTTGTTTTTCTTCTAAATTAAATGAATTTCTAATAGAAATTATTATTTAAAAAAATCCAGACTGAAACAGAGTATTGGATTTCAAATTAAAACAAACTACTCGCTCTCAATGATCTACTGAGGATACTCTTCTTTAATAAGCAAATAAACACGAAAAATACCAATTATTAGCAATTTCCTTAACTATGGGGATGTACTTGCAAAAAGCAGCGCATCCAAAATCCAACCGAATCTCCCCCAAGGGCATTCCCGTCATTACAAAAACTCCTCCCCTTCTCCCCACATATAAAACCCCACCCCCTCAAAAAAATTTCCTCTCGAAAACCCATCCGGCCGCTCTCCTGTTTTCTCTCCTTTTTTAATAAAAAATAAAAATAAAAATGCCGAAAAATTCCAAGAAAATCGGCACCACCCAGATCATCCACCTAATTTGAAGCGGTGGCGGTCGACCTCCGGCCGTCCGTTTCGGTCCGGCACGGTGGCGGTCTACGTGGGCCGGCACCGTGTCGTCGGTTCGTTTGTCCCGGCGAGGTTCATGAACTTCCCCGTGTTCGCTTCGCTGCTGGAGATGGCGGAGGAGGAGCTAGGTTTCAGCCGCCCGCGCGGGTTGCCGAGCTCACGTGCGATGCCGTTTTCTTCACGTGGGTGGTGAGGGCGCTCGAGGGGGACGAGGAGAGGTTTAAGGGGCTTGGGCTTGATCGGTTCGTCGAGCTGTTTGCGGGTGTTGGGTCGGAGAGGTCGTCGTTATTGGGTTCGGGCTGTTGTAGTGGGCCGGGTAGGGATGGGTTTTATCCGTTGCTTCAGAAGAGCAGGGCTTGATTTTTGGGAGGGAATGTGGGGGCTTTGGAGATGTTATTATGATATATATGCCAAATGAAATGATTGGTTGAGGTGAATTTTTTAGGTAGTCCTTTTTTTTGGGGTAAAAATTGCGGATAATCTCACTCATTCGTATCTTCAATAGCACTTACAATCTTTTAACCCATTTATTTGCACTTAGCACCCCTTCATCTAATAAGGGAGGGGTTATCTGCAATTTATCCTTCTCCAAATGCAAATTTAGAGGTTGATAGGTCGTATTAAATTAAAATAGTTAAAAGCGTGAGGATAGATAAAGGGGTAATCTGCAATCAATCTTTTTCTACTAGGGTCTTTTAGACGCGAAGATGGGGGAAGAGGACTCGCTACTAGTTACACGTTGCTGCCTCTCGTCATCGACTCTCATCGCTGCATCTCGTCGCCGGAGCTCGCCTCTCTTCGTCGAAGGTCGTATCTCACCGCCACCACTCACCATTGGTCGCTGCCTCTCTTAGCCGCCACTCGCCGATGCCTGCTTTACCCTCGACCTCTCTTGAAGAAGATTAAGGGCTTGTTTGGATTGAGGGGAATAAGGGTGAAGGGAAGTTAAGGGGAACCATTCACCTCCATTCATCTTGTTTGGGAACATTTAGGAGGTGAAGTTATTCACCCTAGTTCCCCTTGGTTCACCCCCTAATAGTATAAAATTTGTTACCCCCAAATTGGGGTGTAACCAAGGGGAAGGGAACTCCCTTCCCTTCCCTTCTATTCTCTCACCTAGTTTCCCTTAACTTCACTTCACCCCTTACAAATCCAAACAGGCTCTAAGTCACATGAATTTGGGAATGAGAATGACCCGTTGCAAACTAAACGAGTCATATATGGGTAATAAACGGGTCAGTACGGGTTAACCCTAATTGGCCCATCTAATCAATAGGTCAATTCGGATTGACCATTTATGACGCGACCCATATAACTTGATCCATACCTATTATAAACGGGTCAGATCAGATTGGGTTGATGGGTCGGGTCATAAATTACCACCCTTAAACTAATTTGTGTATATAATGAGTAAACCTAGAATGTGGGGGGGGGGGGGGACCCTCAAACCCATATATTTGCTGAGGTGCAGCCGCTCCTTTGCATATGAGAGAGGTAATCTCTCATATCCGTCTGACGTAAGTGCCCCGAAGTATTAAAGTCTTTGCCCCCCCCCCCCCCCCCAAAAAAAAACCCCTATTTTTTTTTTTTGAAAAACTAACAAAAAAAAAGGGGGGGGGGGGCGGGGGGGGGGGCAACAATTTTTTTGGCGGGCGGCGGGCCCCCCCCCCCCCCCCCCCCCCCCCCCCCCCCCCCCCCCCCCCCCCCCCCCCCCCCCCCCCCCCCCCCCCCCCCTCTTTGCATATGAGAGAGTAATCTCTCATATCCGTCTGACGTAAGTGCCCCGAAGTATTAAAGTCTTGCACATAAGTGCCCCGAAGTTTTAAAATATTGCACGTTTGATGCCATATTGTTTGCTCAATGTTGCATATAAATGCTCTAAAGTTTATAAATAGTCTCACTTAAATACCCTATTGTTTGCCCAATGTTGAATTCTTTCTTTAAAATACCTCAAACCAATTAAATTTGGACGGTTCCTCAGAAACTCTCAACCGCCGGAAACCAAAAAAAAAAAAAAAAACCCCCCCAATTTGGACGGTTCCTCAGAAACTCTCAACCGCCGGAAACCAAAAAAAAAAAAAAAAACCCACCCCACCCTTTCAAAAGAACACGAAAAAAAAAGGAAAAAAGAAAAGAGAGAGAGAGAGAGAAAAAAACTATGATAGATAATGAAATGCAGAAGGAAAGCGGCGTCTATGGCTCTAAACGTCCGCGTGCTCAATAAACCGTTTGAGCGGGAACAGATCCCTATAAATATTCCCAATTTGTACCTCGCCTCCGTACACTCGAATCTCTCTCTGTTTTGGGGACTTTTTTTTTTCTTCCAAAGCCCTAAAACTCCAAAATTTCCAGTTCCCACTAAATTATCCCAAATTGGTTATAACCTCTCTTTGATCTTGCTGTATCCTCAAATCCAGCGATCTTAAGAGCGGATGGAGTTCTTCAAAACCCTAATCTTTCAATTTTCCGATTCCCGCTAAATTATCCCCAAATTCATCCCATTTCTTAGTTTTCGGTCTCCGATCAGTGATGCAATCGGTTAGGAATGCTTCGATCTTGCTGAGTCTCCCAAAATCTAGTGCTCGAAAGAGCGAATGGAGCCCTCCAGTGAACCCTAGAGGAGAGGGAAGGTGCAATTTATTGGAGTTTTCTGTGAATTTCGATAGAACAATATCTTTAGTTCGTAATGCGAGTAGCACTGGAGGGGTTAGAGAAGTAGAGAGGCCGGTGGCCCAAAAGCCTAGGTCGGCGGAGATCAGAGTTCTTGCAGGAAAGCCTGCGCCTTTTGGTGCTACAACCTGTGATGGTGGTGTCAACTTTGCGATCTTTTCTCGTGGGGCGTCGTCGGCTACGTTGTGCCTTTTCACCATCGCGGATTTGAAGGCGGTATTTTGTTTATTTAACTGCATTTTGATGATTTTCCTTGATTTGGCTTGCCTGTTATTGATTAAAGTATTGGTTTTGAATTTCACTTGCCACTGGATTTATTTGTGAAAAAGCTTAGGTTATTTAAATTAAAAAGATTGGTACATTTTTAAATTGATATTCGTGATTCTAGTCAAAATTATCACAATTATTTTTTTGTGTGACTGGTTTACTTTGCTATAAACCCAAATTGTTCTTTTGAAATTAAACTTGGCAGAAAATGTTAAATTGAACAACATAAAGTGAACACACTGTGAGGAACTGTCCCTCAGAAGAATTAATTGAAAAAAAAAATGATTGTAATGGTTGGGCACCCATATTTGGTAGTCAGTGATTCTTCAGTGCTGATAATACAGTCTTAAATTCTCTATACTTCTAAATACACTTAATTTCTAAATCAATCAAAAGAACAAACTTGGAGGGCCTCTATGATGCTGCCTTGTAATTTTAAAATCTAATAAACTCAGGTTTGTGTTTTGGTTTACTGAATTGCAAATTTTTTTGCATGTGAATTGCAATTTATTTCACATGTTTCATTCCTGATCCTCCCACTTTTTGGTACAGAACATAGTCACTGAGGAGATTCCTCTTGATCCATTGATCAACAAGACTGGTTATGTTTGGCATATTTTCCTGGAAGGTGAACTGAAGGATATGTTGTATGGGTACAAGTTTGATGGGAAGTTTTGTCCTGAGGAGGGACACTATTTTGACAAGTCTCGTGTGTTGCTGGATCCTTATGCAAAGGTGGTTAGCAAATTTCTGTTTACTAAATTGAAAATCCTCTTTTTTTAAGAGACTGACATCTGTTCAGTTTGTCGCAACAATTTGTAAGTTTGTAATCTAGTGCAAATTGTACTAACATGCTTCAATGAGGTAATTAAAGCATTCTTTTAATTCTCAGGCGGTCATCAGCAGAGGTGAATATGGTGCATTGGGACCAGATGGCAATTGTTGGCCTCAGATGGCTGGTATGATACCGCTGTCTGACAATGAGGTACTGATTATTGATACTATCAGTTACTGATATATTTGCCTATCTTATATCCTATATATTTCTATGCGTGCATTCTTTCTATTTTAGGTGCTTAAATCCTTTCACACTTTTGTCTTTAGTATCTTGTACAGTTAGTTTCCATTATTGATGTCATGTAGCATGCTAAAGTTGTCAGAATCTAAGCTATTAATATATCTTTCTGCTGATCTTTAAACTAAAAATCTAGCAAGTTTTTAAATGAGATTTATCATGGAAAGCTTTTGGTGATGTATGAGGTATACAGCCATAAACTTTTGAAAATCTATTGTAAAGACAGACTCATGAATATGCTTCCAGAAAAAAAAAATTCTTTTTTGTAAACAATTCTGGGGAAAGTTGCGTGTTTTTCCATTACAAGTGTATTGAAGGTAATTTAAAAAAAAAGCTCAACCTTGATGGAACCATAAGTAAATGAAGTTATTGTCCTCTTTTAGCTATGGATTTATGATTTGCTACAGTCAGTTATATTCAGAATGAAAGAACGTTAAAATGGTGGAAGATCAAGCCTGTAACCTGGATAACCCAAAAAAAGAAGTAAGCAGAGAATTGCTGCGTAACTATACTGTAGCCTGTCAGATAACCTAATGAATATAATTTGTAGATTTTTCTAGAGTTTTGGTGACTCCCTAGAGTTGGGGAATACAACCTTCAGTTCCTGTTTTAAGGAGGCTTGGATAAATGCTATTTTTTTAACAGATGTTTCTGAACTACATTTGTCCTTGGTACAGTCCATACACAAAATTGCATGATTCCTGAAATGATTGGACATTATTTTCTCTATTGTTCATCTGTTTGAATTTGCCAATTGACATATTCGTCCAACTGCACCTATGGTTTCGGGTTTCCTTCATACTTCCAGTATATCCTACTGTATAAAAGCATTCACTCTGGAAGAATTATATGTTAAAAGTTGGCATGCTTTCCAATCATTTTATTTATAGGGGATGCAATTCTTTATCATGACTGTCCTCCACTAGAGTACATCACTTTTTCTGTAAATCCTGCATAACTTCTTGACAATCTTCTCGGGATATCAATTGTCCATGTTAGTATTCTCAACAGTATGTACATAAAAGGTCTACAAGCGGTAGTGATTTAAATAATCAGGGAACATATTATGCCTCGTTTGGTACATAGGAATCAGTCGGAATGAAATTTAAATTCCCACTTCTTATTCCCTGGTACAAACCTGACTTGGAAGCTAGTAATCTCATTCCCACTTCTCATCAATTCCCAATTTATGTGGGAATGTCATTCCCAATGAGATGGTAGGGCATGAGCATTCCCATTTAAGTGGGAATTAAAAAAAACATAACTTCCAAATATGATCATTCCCACTTCATTCTGGAGTTCCACCAAAATGTGAAAATGAAATGGAGCAGTCCATTTTCACATTAATTTCATTCCATTTCTTGCTTCACTCAATTCTCACTTCACTTGGTTCTCGCATACCAGACGAAGTGTTATAGTTGATGTACTCAGATGTTCATCATCTCTACACAGGTTCAGACAAATCTCCTGTAAGTAAAAGTAACATAGATCACTTAACCATTTTGCTACCTTAAACTTACTTGTATACCAAGGTTGGTACTAGAAAAGAAAAAGAAAGAAAGAAAAGAAATGTATGTAAAAGTAAATGAACTCATTAACCTTCTTATAGACATGGTATATATGAAAACAAAAAGGTTAATTTATAAAAGAAATATGAAAACAACTGGAAAAGTCTGATATACTATTGCCCCTCAAATATCTTTTGCCCCTTCTTCAACTTTCTTTATATTTACTCATGTGTGCTCCTTTACATCACCAGTGGAGTATTAATGCCCCTCAGGTGTTTTTCACCCCTTCTTGAACAATCTTTACATTTATTCGTATGCTCCTTTATCTCACCCGTGGAATACTAATGCCCCTCAGATACTTTTACCCCTTCGTTGACATTCTTTCGTTTACTCATGTGTGCTCCTTTACATCACCAGTTGAATCCCATTCTTAACACCCTGATGACTGCACACGTGCCATAAAAGGACATTGACATCCTGTGAGAAATGGAGCATGGCTCACTACCCTTGATGCAGTTACCTTAGTCTGCTTGTCTTTATTCTTATGTTCATAGTTTTCATATGTTCTCTCCCTTAAGAAATAGATTCTTTTCAAATTTGAAAATTTTAACATGGATGATTAATGACTTCTGTTTACTATTGTTTGCTAGAGGTACCGTGACATATTTCATGATACTGCCTCAAATTCTCTCATCCCAAAAATGCTAGTAGGAAATTGAATTGCCTTCTAAATGTTCTTCATGTACCTTTATTATTTACTTATAGTGGCACGAATCTGGAAAAAAATCATAAAAAGAGGTTAAAAAATTAGTATTGCTTGATAGTTTATTATGCAAACCTGATAAAGTAGTGGATTATAATTGCAGCATATTTCAATATTATTCATTCTGTTTTTCAGTTTGACTGGGAAGGAGATTTACCTTTACGGTATCCTCAAAAGGATCTGATTATTTACGAGATGCACATAAGGGGTTACACGAAACATGATTCAAGTAAGACGGACTTTCCAGGAACTTACCTTGGAGCAATAGACAAGTTGGATCATCTAAAGGTACATGTATATTGTGACATGTCATCATTCGAAGGTTTTTACTTTTTAGAATGTAAGCTTATTGAAAATTAATAGGTTTTTTCCGATATTAGCCCCTCCCCAAATCTTTCATTTTTGAAATTAGTCCCCCAAATCTTCATCCGCCAAATCTTTAAGTGTTTTGAAATTAGTCCCTTAAATCTTGATATTTTGAAATTACTCCCACAAGTTTTTTAAGTATTTTTAAATATGTCCCCAGATCTTTCAACCAGCTGCAACTAGAAAGGACTGAACTCAAAACAGCGACTTATTTAAAAACCTTAAATATTTGAGGGTTAATTTCAAAAAATCAAGATTTGGGGACTAATTTTTCTGGTTCATATCTTGTATCCACCGTTATTAGCATCTATTAGTTGTCTGTTTCACCTATGCTACACCTTGGCACTTAAAGATGTATAAAGGCTTATAGATAGATACGTTTTTTTAAATGTATTGATTTGTAACTAATTCATATTCTATATAAATGTGCCATATAACTCTAAGGTGTAATAACAAGAAGTTCAGATATTTAGCTCTTATGGATGCTAATGCAAGTTGGCAACACTTGGGCTTACTTGCCCACATGATTAGTGGTGGTTGCATGACTGGCATGATCATTATGCTAGCAGCATTACTAAAGAAAACAGCTTCGTCTATATTGTCTGTGCAATAAGTTTCTTTGTGTTTTTGTTTGTGTGTTTCAGTTTCTTTCTTTCTTCTTCTCTTTATACCCCTCCCACCCTCTTCCCTCTGAACCGAGAGAATCTTCAATGGGAGGTTTTGATTAGTTTAGCAGCATCTCCCACCACCGGACACGTTCTTGTCCTTATCTAATCCGGTACCTTTCTAGCTTGAACTGATTCTTGGGTTTGATCAACTTAACCACTGTTAATCTGACCTTAACATTTGACTGGAACAGACTCGGATAAACATCCTTCTTGATGACAGTGATGACAAAAATTGGATCATGTCAACTAACTTGAATCTGACTGACAATAATTATTGATCAAAATGCCTTACACAAAAGTTGAACTTTTGATTTGGATTATGGACGTCAAAAGAATATGTAAAAATTTTCACCTTAAGATAACAGGTATTTTAAAGGAACGTCCCGTGGGATAAAAACAAAACAAGAATCGAGCATATGTAGTTTGACAAGAATGGTTTTGTGTTTCTTGAGTCACCTTCCATGGCCTGTAAAGTTCATGCAAAAGTGAGCAATTATATGTTGGAAATGACTAATGAGGTCAATCAAGGATTGGGTATCACCTTTTAGGCATTATATATAATTCTGATTATTATTAACTGTTGCTTGTTCAGTTACATGACATGGTATCAAGACATCATGTTTCAAGTAATAGTTATTTCAAACCTTATTATGTTTATCTACTCCTTTTCTGTATTTTCCCTTCCTGAGCAATTTTACATGAAGTTGTTTCCTCAAGATCTAAACAATCCACGTGAATGACTGTGGTAGTTAGTTTTGTAAATTTTGGTGCACAATCAACAATTTAAACTTTTGAATGAAGTAGTTAAAGTAACCAGCATGTTTTCTTCTCTCAACTTGTAGGAGCTTGGAGTCAATTGCATAGAGCTAATGCCTAGTCAAGAGTTCAACGAGATGGAGTACTTCAACTATAGTAGTCTCCCGGGTGAGAGCAAGTATGAGTACTTCTTTTAATAAAAGCATTTCACAATTGAAAGCATGCTTCTTTAATCAAACTTTCCATATATCAATATCTAAATCAACACATGCATCCTTAAGTATCATTCTCTCCTCTTAACCTTTTTTTTAACAGATTTGGCTCACAAATTTCTGTTACATACCGCAAGGAAAAAATTGCACAGACACACACACATGCACACAAGCGCACACAAACACACAAAATCTCTCTCTCTCTCTCTCTCTCTCTCTCTCTCTCTCTCTCTCTCTCTCTCTCTCTCTCTCTCACACACACACAGGGTGTAACTATCTCAGTTACACGCACCTTTCTTCACCATTGGATTTTAAGGTTGGTGAACATCAATCCAGTGTTATCGAGGCACAAGGCACAATGCGTGGTGCAAAGGTCTCTTACGCGCACCATGCGCAAGGCGCACAACGAGGCGTCCGCCTCACTGAATTGAGGCACATAACTCAAACTAATATTTTTCAACATAAGGCAAAAAAGTATATAAGCAACATGTTTAAAAATTATCACATAAAAAGACTAAGAAATATAATTTCACCTACTAAATCACGAAAGAGTCTTAATTAGCATCACATAGAGAAGTTCATAAGTTTCCACAAATCACAATGTAAGATAATATTCAATATGAGCAAAAACCTACGAAAAAAAATAAATATTCATAATCCATTCATTAAATATGTATATTCATATTGTATTCCTATTTTCTAATTAGAAAATCTTCATATTCAATGTCAAAACTGTGAAGTGAACAATTATGTAATTAACAGTCAAGTGATTAACAACTAAGTGAAGGTTTTGCATAAATAAAAGTTGTCAAAAAGAGTCTAATATGGAAAAAATAGTCTATTACATGATGTAAATATGTAATCATATAAATTATTTTCAAAAAGAAAAAATAAGAAAATAAGAAAAGAGGAAAACTAAAAAAAACTAACCTGAATATTGGTTGGCGGCGACGGTCGGAGTCGGCGTCGTCGGTTGGCGGGCTGGGGTCAAGGAGTGAGACAGTGAGAGTTTGAGGAGAGGAGCAACCACTGTGAGAGTTTGAGGAGAGGAGAACCCTAAAGCATAAAGGTTTATTGAAAATCAAGACTCGAACCCCGCTTTCAACCCGAAACTCGCTTTAGTCCAAGCCCTAAACCAGGTGCATTAAGGCGGTGCGCCTGATGCGCCCACTAGGCGCACACACGTGCCTACAGCGCCCCATCTCTAGTGCAGAGCGCATTTGTTGCAGGCCGCAGCGCCTCGCGCCTGGGGCATGCCTGGCACACGCACCTCGATAACCTTGCATCAATCAACTTCAAGATCTTGTGAGATTTGTGAGATTTTTTTAATTGTCTTTCCTTTTAAGTTTTTTAATTTCCTTTTACTTCCAAAGCAAATTTATTTTACTTAAAACTTTTATGTCTATTAATTTTATTTTTCACATCTTCGCGGTCCGACCTACTTTTTCTTCGTCTGTCTTCGACAATGAATAAAACGACAGATCCAAAAAGCTTAACAAAATGATGATGTATAGAGGGTCACTAGCTTAAGTGGAAATGGTTAGATAACAATACTCGTGTATCATAGAAATCCTATTTTCTTTTGGACAATGACAATTGCAGCAACCCTGTTACTAGATCTTTACAAGTTCTATATTTTCTTATGTTCTCGACTGATGTGGCTAAGGTAGCGTGGTGGTGATGTAAAAGAAGGCTGGACCTACGCGCAAAAAATTAAAATACTTTGAATTACACACAAGCAATGAAAATAATAAACATGAAGTTTAGAAGAGAAATAAGTATGGTTCAAAAAGAAAAATGATAAAGTTATAAGGGAAATAAATGTCATGTGAAAAAAAGGAAATAGAATATTTAAATCAAAATGAATCTAATATAATAGCTACAATATATTCATGTTCATCATCTTTAAGATTCAATGGTGGTTAAGATTCAATGGTGGAAAAAGGTGAAACCACACTTTTTACACCCTGACTATATTGTAACTCTACCCATATATGTGTGTGTGGGTATGGTTACAATACATAGGGTGTAACTAATTTAGTTACACACCTGTAAAAATACACATTTGCCAATCGATATTATAAATCTGAACCGTCCATTGTGATCTATTTATTCAAAACTTTATGGAGATAAAAAAAACTCACATAAATTAAATACTTCCACTTTATACATATAATGATCTAGAAATGAGCGGGCTAGTAACAATCTCTTATGTCGATTATATTTTGAGTTGCTTGAATTATAGGATTAGAAATTCCAAACCACATGACTTTTGATCCGCATACATTTGATGACAAGTAGGTAACATTCAAAAGTTCTAATTTATAATATCGATGGGTAAATATGTACCTTTACATGTGTGTGCAACTAGCTTAGTAATATCATGTGTGTATTGTAACCCTACCCTACGCGCGCGCACGTATATGCATGTATATATATATGTGTGCGTGTGTGTGTATATAGGGGCTGTTTGGTTGCTCGCAACTGCAATTGCAATGCAGCTAAGAGTTGCATGTAACTCTTAGTTGCATTGCAACTAAGGTTGTTGCAGGTACTATTGCTTGAAACTGGAGTTGCAGCTGTTTGCTACAACTTTAAAAGCTTGCAACTTGCACTTACAATTGCAGTTGCAAGTGTTTGTTTTTACTTGCAACTTCTTGGTTGCAACCTATGTTCACTTATAATACATTACACAATATAAAGATAAAATTCATCTAAAAATAGAAGAATGCTATACGTACACAAATATATTCATGTTATTTCACAAAAATTTGAAATTGCATACTAAAATTTGTAAATAACCAAATTTGAGAATTGAATGAACCTCTTTCAGAAAATATTAGGTCGCTACATTATTTATTTTACATCCATGTATATCAAGAGTTGAAGTATGAAATCGCTCTCATTAGAAAATTACAGTCGCTATTGTCTCAATAGACTACTAAACAAGAGAAATTACACAATGTTCCAGCTTCGCCCAAAGTGAAAAAACATCAGTTTCTTTTTTTTTCATTTCTTTCTTCACCACCTCATGTATTTTCGCAGTCGAGATACTGCAAAACTTTGAGAAATAGCTTAGTTAAGAAGAAGGCTTAAATATGTAAAACTGTATAATTGATGCAATGCGATTAATTACCTCAATATATCTTGGAGGAAGGCTTAAACAGGACCCACTCAGCTCCACTTAAAAAATAAGTAACAAGCATACAATACAATTGAACGTAATGAAAAAGGCATAAATAGTATAAGGGCTGAAAAGTAATTATGATATTACAGTCATCCAAAATAAACATAACATAGTCTCATAATTAAATTATTACAATCATCCAAGTATTAGGAGTTCTCAAAACAACATCAAACATGCAAGATTAGAGTGTACTTGTGCAGTTTTCACTAGAAAGTAGTTCATCTAGATTACCTTTTGTTCATGACATCACCAAAGAAAACCTGCCACGATGGAAGATTACTCCATTAGAAAGTCGCAAGCCTTATTTAGGTCACTTTGGTCAAAACCTTGAAGCTTTCCCAACTCTTCGATTATCTTCCTTGCTCTTTCATTTTCAGCTTCGTGTTTCTTCAATATAACCTCTGAGACTCCACGAATGCCCATTGCCATTTCCGACATGACATCAAGTTGTATCCATATCTTCCATCATATCATTAGCATCCTCCATTAGTTCCTCTATGTCCTGTAAGCTAATAGGTTCATTACTACCCCTAGTGAACTTTCCTGATGCATGATCGTTTCCGCATATCAACCTCATTTCTTCATAGAACTGGATGAGTTATTAAGAAATAGCCGTCTTTTGAATTTGCCAATGTAAAAGTTTTAGGACACAAATATAAATATTAGATTTGTATTATTGAGGTCATGGATTATTTAAATTTATCAATTATCTCAATATATGTATTATTTAAATTTTATCAATTATCTCAATATATGTAGAGTATTCATCCTGACCAATTAGGATGACTTTGTTGTCTTCATCCCATCGAAATCCACTCATCTCCTTCAGCTTTTGAATTCTAACTCATCTTGTTTTTAGGGTCCTCCAATGATTGTAGGCATTAGTATCGGTAATATTGGTTCCAAATTATTTGTTAATATGCTTTGTTGCAGCAATGTAAAGAGGAGCTTTGAACCCCTTATCCAGTGTTTTAAATATCGGCCGCCATGTCGGACATGGCGGGCGATATTGCGGATTCGGAGCCTAGCCGCCACGAAATTATTGAATTTAATGCGTATGGCGTTTTTGAGGTCATGTCGGGGACATGTCGGAAAATAGCGGATATATCGGGCGACATTTCGGCCATCAAATATCGGCCAAAATTCAGAAATATCGGTTTCACATTGACATGTTGAAATCATATGATTTGCAATATCTTTCACCTTCTATTTATGTAAAGTTTCACATTGTTTCCCATCCACTACCCATATGGGTGCTTGTTGTAGGTTTTAATTACTTGTTATTGCATTTGTTTTCTTTATAATGGAAGGCTATAAGAACACATAAATTTATTTGTATTAGGTGCACATATACTTCGGTTTTACTAGTTTCTTGTTTGGAGAAATGACATATATATATAATAAAAATCCTGCAATTGTTAGTTGATGCAGTTAAGTAGTTTAGAATAACAATTACGAGTTTAATTTTTAATTTCAGTAGAATTTTCTTTTTGTTCCTACTAGTATAATGCACGCGCTTTGTATGTGAACATTTTTTTTGTAATCTTTTTCTTTGAGTGTAAAATTATGAAGTGACTTTTATAATAATATAAATTCTTAAATTGAACAATTAATAAATCTTTACATTAATAAATAAAGTTGTGTATAAAGAATTGTATTAGTAATTTTTATATTCTGGATAATTATTATACTTTAATAAGAATTGTCTAAACATATGCAGTTAAGCTGTTCTAGTGTCTATTTGGTTTTCTATGCAAAAGCAAAAACTTGGTGGTTGCT